AGAGGCTGTGTGGTGCTTAGTTGCCGGCTGGGGTTAAACCACAATAGCGTCCTCATCAAATCCAAGTAAATTGCAGTAAAAATAGAATATGAGGGAACTGCAACATTTCACTTGTTGTGTACTATTCTTTCACAAGCATCAGTAAAATATTTGCACTGTAGCTACGACAAAGTGTAACCTCTGAAGAATAATTACTTTTTATCTAAAAACCCCAAAAATACCATATATAAACCCTGTCTGGATATAGAAAATGAAAGGACTGAAATGGGAATGAGGAACCTACCACGTTTTCCTCCCTGACACCTTCCTTATTGTAATACTTACATCCTCAGATTGGCTGGTTTTTCTCCTCTTTCCTGCACCATCCAGTTCCTTCTCTTTTTTGTCCTGAAAATGGAAGGAGGAGGGAAAAAAAACCCCAAAGATAAGGATTCTCATACCTTTCTGATCTGAGATAAACATCATCACTGCACGTAAATAAGCTTTGCAATACAACTGATTAATTCTCTGGGCTCATTCTCCATTTGTTTAAGGGCATTTTTTCCCTTTAAACTGGACATTCCTCAACACTTTCAGCTAATTGGGAAATGAGCAACCCATTATGTTCCAATACAAAATATATCCCCAAATACTATCACAAGGCTAGGATTTTAAGACTGAAATATACCACTAATTGAGAGTACATATTACGGATGTAATTCTGCAGTTATAAATGTCATGCATTGTCCCATGCCAAGACCTGATGAACACATGGTCTTTTGTAAACACACAGCAGATACACGCTTACACATACATTTTTAGTACCACCTACTTGGACAGCAGCCTAACAGACACAAGTATTGTCAAGACTGTGGTATGGTTACCTTTGGAGTGCGTTTACGAGAGATGCTTTGTCCCAGTTTACTGAGAAAAGAGATGGGCGATTTGGTACTGGCAATTAGGGCAGCTTTTTCTTCTGAATTCAGGTCCAGACTATCTGTTAGCAAAAGCAGGTAGGACAAGGGAATATCAAGAAATTATTTCTATGGTGCTGCTATTAAATACACAACTGAAGGACTCACTGATTTTTTTTTTTTTTAACATAACACTTTTTCTTAAATTCTCTGTATAAAATAATTGTAATGTCCAAAATTAATACCTTTCTCAGCTACTCTACTTTTTCATTTTGCCAAAATCAGTTCTTCTTTCAAGGTTTATAACCACCCAGAATAAATACTGTGTTTGTTTACTCTATTTACTTTCACATTTAAAGAGCATCATGATCATCCGTATTCTTAAGAAGAGTTCAGAGTTTTGGAAATAATACCTGATACACACTGTATTTTTAAAAGGCTATTAAACACAATTTTTTTTCCCACCAGAATGATAGATTTGAATTAAGATCATCAGTAATAAAGAAACAGCTACAACAACGTTATTAATATTTAAAGGTAGGCCATATTGATTTGTGTTAGACAATTACATCTTTCAGTTCTAATCAAAGATCTTTGGTCTGAAGTCACTCTCATCGTTCACAGATGGTAAATAGATATAAAACTTGGCCAATGTTTTGAAATTACCTACTAAACTACTAGCAAGGCACCTCATATTAGCCAAGACAGATGAACCCCTAATAATAGCAAGAAAGCAGAAAAGTAGTGCTGAAGTGAGTTTAGAACTTTTGAGGACATTATTTTGAGAACATTATTTTGTATTAACTAATTTTTTTGTTGCTCCTGATGCTGCTAACATGGTCTTTATCAGCACCAGTAAGTCGTCAACTTTTGTAATGTAAAGTTAGCGAGTGACTAGTATGAGCTTATGCAGAAGAAGCATGAAGATAACTGAAGCACACACATTCATCCTGAAGCTCTCTTTAAATCTGAGAGACCTGCCCCAAACTCCTTACCGCTAGAGGGGATGGTGTCTTTGAACATCTCATAGAACTGTGTGAGGTACATCACCATCGACAGTTTATCTGGCTCTCCGACAGATGCCATTTCCTTTCCAGTCATAATGGGAGATATTCCAAACTCTTTTTCAGCAATGTCAAAGGCCAGCTGGTTATTCTTCTCCACATTGTGCTCATCCAAAGAATCAAAGTCTCTGCAAAGGGCAGAAAGACAGCATGCACTGAATCAAGCAGAAACCAGTCTTCTGAAAGAACTCAGGGATCCATCTCCTTTTTTTCCTCCAAAATCTCTTTAATGTATTTGCCAGCAACCTTTTTATATTGCAGAGTTGATGCTACTTAATTATGGTGAACTTCGGCTCAAACATATTATTTTTTCATTTTTGGCTCCTCCTCCTCCAAACCCAGATTTCTCTTCTTAAAAACTTTATTATCCTCTGAAATATATCTTCACTTCCTCCTTTACTGGAAGACTGTACTGTTTTCCCCTATGTAAAATCTTTTCTGTGCTTGGAACTAAATTAAGTCTTCGCTTTTGTCCCCTTTTTTCTTGACTGATCCATATTTTAGTTCTGCCGGCTTTTTCCAAAACTTGTAGAACTATATAAAAACTATATAAAAAGCTATAGCTTGTAGAGAGTTATATAAACCATTTTTAAAACTATTTGAACTCTCCACAAGCTATATAGCTATTAAACAGAGTAGCTCAGGTTAACTCAAGTACACCAATAGAGAAGTAATTCAGTGCACATGGAAGGGAATAACCAAGTAATTTTTCAGCATGCTTTACATTGGATTATGTCTTTAAATACAGCTCTAGCATTTATTTTTTCTAATGTCCTTTTGGGAAGTTGAAGCCATTTCAGATTTCAATTGAAGTACCAGAGTCTGTGCTCCTGTTACTTCTTCCAGCCAGTGTTTTCCCATTGTAGAATCTGGGCACTGTTTTACCCAATATATCATGTAAGAGGACGCCTCTCATTCATCCAATCAGCATGTTAATGCACAAACAGTAGCAATATCTCTATTTAGACTGTGGGTCACTACTTCTAAAAAAAGCAGCCTAAAAGTCTTTAAAAAGAGTTACTGTTAAACAGGAGATTTATAAAGGGCTGTGTAGAGATTTGTTCGTGAGAAATTTAACTGAAGTTATGAACTATTCCTGACTAACTTCACAGAGAAAAGAGCTGTCAGTCAATAATGGTTTCCAGTCAGTACCAATTTGAAGCTTAATTCTGTCAAATCATCCAGAAGGGAAAATGACAACACATTTATCTTCATATTCATCAAGCTATTATGACCTTCCACTCTGCTGGTGAATCACCATATGTTAGCTTCCATCAAGTTTAATTGAATTCATTTCAATCCATTTCTCCATAAGTCACAAATGCATTGCCTCAGTCTCCATACTATTAGTTCCAAATATCACTAGTGTTCTGCTCTTCCCAGTTATTCAAAACAGCCAGTTACTCACATTAAGTCTGGACGGTATCTGTGGATAATGGAACACAAAGCTAGGCCACTTTTCCATGACATCGTGAGATCTGTCACATTTACACCAGCATATCCATCGGTCTGCCTCTGGCACCAACTGAGCAATTTACTAGAGCGAGCTACAGACTCTGTAATAAATCACATTTAAGTAGAAATGTACAATATCTCTCTCATGAATTCTAAACCCAACATAAAAACCATGAATCAACAAATAAAACCTTCGTGTAAACAACAAGCTCCTTCTACAATGAGCAATACAGGACAGAATTTTTTTTTTTTTTTTTAAAGACTATCTTATCTATTTTAGATCCAAGAAAGAATTTTAATTTGCTAAGAAGTAATTATCTAAGTTATAACTTGCCAGGCTTTTCACCCTAGCCCTTGTAAAAGAGCCCCAGGAATTATAAAACAGTCACAAAGGCTTGTTTTAAATATGATCAAAAGGATATACAGTAGCACAAATGCTCTCTGAAGCCCAGATATACTATTTCTAATGGAAGAACTACAAATGTACTTCTGCAACTTTTTCTTTTCTCCTGAAAGCTTTCCTTTAAAAGCACTGACCTTTTTTCACCTTGCCTTACTGCAAGATCTGACGAGATTACAGCCTAAAGGGACGTGGTTGCAGGCCAAAGAACAAATCAAAAGACTACATAGCTATTCAGCAGTGAAAGGGAGGCTTAGCAGCAAAGTGCCATTCTGAGAGTCCCCAGACACTATCCGGACATCCAAAGGCAAGGTGTGCAAAAGGAAAAGTTCAACATACCCCTCAGGGTACAGGACAAGTAGACAGATACTGAAATGCTTATCACAAGGCATCTAACTTCCAGAATAATGTAAGCGAAGTGAGGTTTCATTTAGTTAATCTAAGAAATGAGATTAAGTAAAGGAAAGCATGAACATGAAAGACTGCACAAGAAATACCTTCTGTTACGTTTGTAAGAACTCTTAGTTTACTGTTAGGGTGAATTCAGGCTAGGCTTCTGCACTCTATGTAAGGACACTGTTATAGGATAAAGGAGGTGAAAAAAATGCTTGCATAAGCAAATATGCTTGGAAAGATAACAGCATTATAAAGCAAGGGAAATGAGGCAAACAAAAATATATTTACATGTTAATTGAAACTTGAAAAATTGGAAAATCAGACCATTGACAAGACAATTGCTGGATACTTTTTCTAAACCAAAAGAGACTGGTTAAGTAATACTTTAGAGCCTTGCTGCTCTATATCCTGTACTAATCCAGCTCCAGAATACTGAAAGGAATGGAGCAGTAGCCAAGCCTACCATTCCGAGTCAGCTTTGGTGTCCTGGAGTTCACAAAGTTCTCTATTTCCAGGTGAATGTCTTTCAAGTCTCCTGTATTATACAAGTGGCGTACCTAAAATGACAAAAAAATTAAAAATTACCAACATGCCATGCACCCAAGATCCATACAGAAAGAGCAGGACAAGAAGGAGCCATCCCAAGGCACAAAAAGGAAGACAAGTACACTTACGTAGCAGAAATCTCAGTCCAAGAACCCCAGAACAACAAAGAACAGCTAGTCAGTGCTGAACAGTCTAGCTGACTGCTGCTGCTCAGTGAATACCAAATTGCAGTGACAGACTGCTATACCAGATTATTACAAAGAAAATGTGTGCACGCACACACACATACACACACACGTATAGGTTTCACATATCATTACAGCAAGGTTAAAACTGTAAAAATCAAAAATTCCTAAACAGGAATTTGTTAAAGTACAGAGGTTTACTCTTGACTGATATATCTGCTTTTCACCGCTTCCACACTATACTGCCACACCAGGTCACTGTCTGTTCCCAGAACATTAGCATAGCTTCATTTAAGGAAAGACAACACAGACTGCAAGCATTCAGAAGCACCATTGGTCCAGTTACCTGCTGTGGCCGCAAGAAGTTGACGTTGATGTTGGGATACCGGGTGGCGGGATCAATGCTGTAATGGCTGAAGTTTTTACTCACATTCTCAGGGGTGGTCTGAGGCAGTAGCCTATAAATGCTTTCCCTTGGGAAAATAAAAGAAAGTTTTGGGGTTTGTTTTGTTTGCTTTAGGTTTTGTGGGTTGGGTTGTTTGTGG